TGAATATGAGGATTTTGCATTTTGTGTAAACTCTTGTGGTTTGTTTGAGCAAGGGTACAAAGGTAGTCCATTCACATGGTGGAATGTNTATGATAGGGTTTCATGGAAGTACTTATTGCATGTGCTAAGGAAGATGGGATTTTCTGAACACTACATCAACATGGTGTGGAACCTGATGTCAAATAATTGGTATTCAGTATGGGTGAATGGGAAGTCCTCAGGGTTCTTTAAGTCGACAAGGGGTGTGAAACAAGGGGATCCCCTATCTCTAGCATTGTTCATTCTATCAGCTGATGTACTTTCCAGGTCTTTGAATAAGTTCTTTGAAGACAAGTCATTTGTGGGATTTGGAATGCCTAAGTGGTCTGAACCTTTAAACCACTTGGCATATGCTGATGATACGATAATCTTTGCATCTGCTCATCCTCTCTCTTTGAGAAAGATTATGGCAGTGTTGGGGAACTATGAGAAGATATCAGGTCAGATGATCAACAAAGATAAGAGTTCATACTACATACATTCAAAGGTTGCTAATGGATTGTTTTAGGCAGTTGGAGCTATTAGAGGATTTGCAAGAGGTAAATTCCCCTTCACATATCTAGGGTGTCCTATTTTTTACACTAGAAGGATGAAGGACTATTATGAGGATCTTATCAATAAGGTGAAGGCTAAGTTGCATTCATGGAAAGGAAAGTTGTTGTCATTTGGAGAAAAGGTAACACTCATCTCTAGTGTATTGCAAAGTATGCCAGTTCACATGTTATCAGTACTTGATCCACCAAACAGCATCCTGGGGCATCTACATAAGACTTTTGCTAGGTTCTTTTGGAGCACAAAGGAAGAAGGGAGAAGCAGACACTGGGCTTCATGGCAAAATCTTTGCCTTCCTAAAGAGGAAGGGGGCCTAGGTTTTAGGTCCTTAAATGATGTCTCAAGGGAACTGTTTGCTAAATTATGGTGGGGGTTTAGGACCACAAAATCTTTGTGGTCTAATTTCATGTGGAATAAGTATTGCAAGAAGGAGCTACCAACAATGGTGCATTTTAGAGGAGGGTCTCATGTTTGGAGACAAATGTTGAATGCTAGGGAAGAATGATATCGTATGGGAATTGAAGAGTGGAACAACTAATATTTGGCATAAAAATTGGACTGGATTGGGTGTACTTTATCACATATTACCGGAAGAATTTCCAATCAATGGAGATCTTCAGGAGGTGGCAGAACTGCGGCAAGGGGAAACATAGGATGATCAGCTGCTAGATCAAACTTTCAATGAGGAAATTGCAGAACATATAAGGCTAAATGTGCATTATTAAGGCAGTGAGGGATATTGGGATAGGCCATACTGGATGCCAACTCCTTCAGGAAAGTTCAGTGTTAGCAGTGCTTGGAAAATATTAAAGCATAGGGCAGATCCTAATTAGGAATTCAAGTTAATATGGATTAAAGGTTTGCCATTCAAGATATCCTTCTTCTTGTGGAGATTGTGGAGGCAGAAAATAGCCACCGATGATATGTGGAGGAGGCAAGGGCAAATGGTGATGTCTAGGTGTTGGTGTTGTCAGCAGCCCCAAAAGGAATCCATTGAGCATATATTTGTCACAAGTCCTACTACCTATAAGGTATGGAACTTGTTCATGGGGGCTGCTGGAATTTCTGTGCAATTGATTCAATTAAAGCAGATTATAAGGCATTGGTGGTATGCTCACTGTTGTCCAAAATTAAAGCCACTATTTCAAGCAGTACCAGCTATCATCACTTGGGAGCTTTGGAAGAGAAGAAATGCAGGTAAACATGGTGGTTCAGTGTCCCCAAACATGGTGATTCATGAGATAAATAGGACATTGCATCAACTGGCAAGGGTGGGGTATGCTTGGATCCCTAATATTCCATTGTTATGGCCAGACATGATTCAATACTTTGAAGGATATAAACCTATATTGATCACTACAAGAGTAACATGGCAGCTTCCTTTTCATGGTTGGTACAAATCTAATACTGATGGAGCTTCAAAGGGAAATCCCGGACCTAGCTCCCTAGGATTTTGTGTGAGGGATGATGAAGGTGATGTGGTGTATCCTAGGGCAGTAGACCTAGGAGTGACAACTAATGTGGTAGCTGAAGCTAAGGCTATTCTTCAAGGGTTGGAATATTGTGTGGAGCATGATCTTCACCCTCTCATACTGGAGACTGATTCATTGATGATGAAGAAGGCGATAGAAGGGGAATGGGATCCTCCTTGGGTAATTGCACAGGATGTGAAGAAAATTATAGAGATGAAGGACAACTTCAATGTGATCTTTCAACATGTGTTCAGAGAAGGCAACTCAGTGACATATTTTATAGTTAACATTGTGTTCTCTCTGAACTGCCTAGTGCAGGGAGGAGGTTGATCAATCTAGAAAAATCTCAATCACCTAACCTTAGGGTTAGAATAGCAAAGAGAAAAACCCCAGACAGATGGCTTCACAGGATTGGACTCTGCACAAACCTGCATGTTTCTTTGTCACATTCAGTATGCTATCAAGGCACTTTCCAATGGTATTAGCATGGTCCCATGCTCATTTTGGGGGTGCTTCGATAGTGTACAGAAAAAATGCGATAAGTAGGTGTGGGATGGTACAATATATCCTACTTCTGATATGTCCAAATGCTAAGGAAAATGCTGAACCCATCATATGGTATTTTTGGAGATTGTTGAATCATTTCTCAGTGGTATTAGCATGCTTTAATGCTCAATCTGAGGATGGTTTAGTAATTTTTAGAATGATGTCTACATTAAAGGTTCTAGTAGGGAAGGATCTAAGCTTACAAGATCACAAAAAGGCACAATTTCAAAGCCTGGCCTTTGCTTTGCAAATCCTGCTTAACGCCAGCTCATTCCTGGCTTTTGCCTTGCAAAGCCTGCCTAAAGCCAGGCTCCTCTTCTACACATTAATTTTGATGAGTGAGCACATGATTAATACTTGGACAAAATCAGTCCACTGCATATGGAGATCATATAGTAGCTACACTTGGAAGACTATGCTGGCTTTAACTCTGTGGTGGAGATGTTTGGAGTTCATTTTAGCCTATGGACAGTATACCCTGGCGCCTGGTGAGAGCTTGATAGGTGCTTCTTGGTATTTGCCAATGACAATTGGATTCACATACACTAATAGGAGAAGGAAGCATTCAACTTATCATGTTGTAATAGCTAGTTCATTAGATTTTAGCTTTTCTATCTTTTAATAGCTAGTAGCTTCATGCAACTTCTATTTTGGTTTGGACATCTTGTAAGCTTTGGACCCATTTTGGGATTTTATTTATATATTAGCCACTAGGCAAGTGCTGCTGAGTGGTATAGTTACTTAAAAAAAATAGCCCCTAGCCCAAGCCAAACAACCTTTTACTAAACCCGGTTGCTACCTATCTCCATGACCCGCCCCGTTCAATTTTTAATCCTGGCCGTTGATCTCTCAAGATCAACGGCCCTTGTTCATTCCCCTTTTTTAATTAACCCAACCCCCAAACCCTAATCCTTATTTCCCACCTATAGCCGCCTCTATTCTCTCATCTCTCCACCCACCTCTGATAAACCCTAGCTACCATATCCCTAATCTTCTCCGATTCCAACTCAAACATGGAATCAATCCATGATTTACTTACCTACTTTGTGATATTCTGCTATTATACGCGTGTCCATGGTGTTACTTAGTTCTTGTCCTATTTTTGGCAAGAATCATTTCTCAAAATGGGACCGATTTATCTTGATTTGGTGAAGATCTGGACAACTTTTTGTCTATATACACGCTACAATGAACGATTCTTGCATTATTGGTTCGATTCAAGGCCATTGGACCCAACTAGGGTTTGCGATTTTCCTTTTTCCTTACTGATTTTCGATTGCATGTGATATTCTTTCCTTTCTTGTGTTTAATTGATGATTTTTCCTTGTTTGTGTATTTAATTTTGCTACTATATAAATCCCTCCCTAATCCCTTTTGAAAGACCGAAGTTTTCACTCCTATTGCACTCAATATACCTTTCTCATTCGTTTATCTTCTTTGAAACCCTTGGCTCTTTGGTCAGCTGAAAGCCAAGGCCATAATATTATCAACCTCCCCCAGTGCAAGCACTGCTTGGGGCCCTTATGAGGCTCTTGTAAACTCTGAAGTATTAGAGATTTGGGGTTCTTGCTACCAGTATTCTAAAATCCTTATTTTTTTGCCCGTCTAATTTTACAATTAGTTAGTGCCTTTAACTCTTGCAATATTCAATATTTTCCTTCTGTATATCTCTATGTGTTCTAGATATTAAGGACGTTTAAAATTCTGTGAGCATGATTTAGTTCCTTTGTTAGTTGTGAATCCTTGATACTGCACTGTTATGATACTCCCCTGTCATTCTGTATTCTTTGATAGTTGAATGCATTTTAGTACATGTGATAGATTTCAGTCTGTTCTTAGTTTGTGTTAGGCTAATATGTGTTCTTCACTATATCCTGCACTTCTATGTTGGATTTCCTTGTTTTTCTCTGAAATCAGTTCCATACCTCTGTGTTTTTCTTAGTATCTGAACATGTTTGAGTTTTGAGTTTCAATGCATGCCTATTGTAGATGTTCTTTTAAAGAAACTGACTACATGTTGTTAGTTATAGAATCCATTGCATGCCTTGCTTTGGGTACTATACTAAAACTCTTATGAAACCATTCCTTTGCTTTGAATGAATTACTGAGTCTTGTGTTTAATTGACTGTTCTTTGCAAACTGGTCACAACTATATGGATCTCATATTGTCTTAAGATCTAGCCTAAATATGTTTCCTTGCTATTTGTAATCCTGATCTTTAGCATCATCTAAGACTTTAGGGTAAATATTACATTTCCTCTCTTATGTATGGCCAACTGACATGTTAATGTGTAGCTAATCTGCCTTTCACATGCCATAAGTTTCTGTAAAGCCTTTGTACTATGATCTATCCCCACCATGTTACGTTTCCTGATATTGGCCAAGCTATACTACTAGTATGTTGATATGCTATTTGTGACCTTATTAGAATTGCCATGCTAGAACTTTTATTGTACCAGATAGACATTTGAAATCCTTTAGGTTAGTGCCCTATCCTGGACTTGTTTGGCATTGTGCACTCTGATATATTTATCTTATAACCTCAGAAAACCTGATTCCCCTAACTCTCTCAATATGTTCTTCTGCTCAATATACTATCTCCTGCTAATTGATCGAGTGTGGAATGTCAGTATTGTTATATCAACTTGCCATGAGGAATCTAAGCCTTATTGATCCTCTTAACTTGCATGTTCTTTATTTAATTAATCCTGCTATGTCTGCTTCTAAAATACAAAATGCATTTATTCAAATTCTGTCACTTATTCGTTGTTAGTAGGTCCAGAATTCTTTAAGTGATTACTAGGTGTATTTGTTAACTCGCAATTGTTTGGTAAGTGAGACTCCATCTGGGTTCTAACATGGTTCCAAAATCTGAATTTGGGTTGTGCAATTGATACCCTCCAGTGCTTGAGCTGAGTTCACATCTGGGCCTGCTATTCGTAGAAAAGTGAGCTTGTTGAGAGCCCAGGCAATACAGGTTTATTTTTTACTTTTGGGCCTGCTTTTGGTATGCAGTTTTCCGTGTGTAATATTTATACTTATGTTCATTAATTGGGCCTGTAATAATTTGTAAACAATCAATTGGGGTGTTAGTGAAATTGAAAAAATGGGTATGTTCTAATGTTTGCATAAAAAGGTATAAAACATGCCTATAGAGTCTATGTGATCTCTTTGTTACTCTAAACAACATGCCAGATTTGCTATATGTTTTCATGTATTGTGAATTAGTAGAAATCATACCTATAGTAAATCACACACTCACTTAACCTGTTTTACTATCAGATGCATGGGTTTAAGTACTTTGCTGTTCCCGTGTTTACTGTCATGCGTTATTAGACAACATGCCTATAGGAATCAGGTGTCCACTCCTTCAATTTGTGCAACTGCAGTGTATTTACTAGATAACATGCTTGTAGGATTATATTGACTTATGATCCTTATCTAGATACCATGTCTATAGGACCTTAATTGATTAATTAGCTATTGT